TGAATCCTTCAAATCAAAGATTTTTCAATAGGAAATAACTGCAATAAAGATATAAATTTTCAAATTTTCTTATTTACTTTTTTTTAAATCTCGCAATTAGGAAGTGGACAAGGCAAACCACAACGAATAAAAACGAAGATTCGAATAGAAACGAAGAAACGACGCACATTCTAGGTATATTACGGATCATGTAGTTTAGATTCTCGGCAACTGTTTCAGCTCTACAGGGGAGCATCCATCCCTCAGTTGGGAAAAACTTCTAAGCGCCTGCGTACTGACAGCAACGAACGGATTCACATTAGGTCTTCACAAGCTAAACGCTGTTAGGTCCGCTAGAAAGGTAAATTGCAGTTTTGCACAGATTAGTTAACAGAAAGGCATAGCCCTAACAGGAAAAGCTCAACGTTGAAATTGAAACAGCAAATCAAAGGAATTCAACAGTGGTCACCGTTGACATTTTTGTACGGGAGGTTGGGTAGTTTCACGTCCGATACCATTTTACAATCATCTGTTCCCCTGGCTTATGGAACAGCTGGCAGAACTTTCAATAATGTTTCTGTGTACGATCAATTACTTCGCAGAGATTCAGAAATTGTTATGGAAAGGAATAGTGCAGGCCTTGCATTGAACTGTACTTGCACTGAAAAATATAAGGAAAATATTTTAATATTCGTTCACGAGAATGGAAAATAATTTCTCTCATGGAAATGGAAATAAAAATTGACAAATATTTCCGGCTGTATCATTATAAATTGAAAATATTCAAGCGCAAGATCGAATAATTCGTTTTCGAATTGTTTCGTAAAAATGTGGAGCCACATTTATTTCTCTGGGAACGAAGGCCTGCTAGAATGTGATCTAATCGCAGACGAGATTCGCCCGCGGTAACTCAACAGTGCGGTGGTTCCATCAGTGAATCCCAAAATTGTTGCAACTAAAAGGAAAATGTGTTGGGTGTTTTATAAAGAGTAGCGGATCCATTGAAATTCTGGGTGACATGCACCGGATCCGTTTAAGCTAAACTAATCTAATTTCACGATGGTCCCCTATGGGAATCAGTTTAACAGAGATAAACTCATTCCCATGACGCCCATTATGAAAACGAATCAGTTTAAAGTTAAACGGATCTGGTGCATGTGACCCTCTGAAGGAATCTTGAGAACGAAAGCAAATGAACTGAAATGAAATGACTGAAATAGAAAGTAACAATTTTAATGCTTCATTTCTGAACAAATCCAACATAAATAAGGCGAAGACTAAACTATAAAAACGATGCATATGAAAATTCCCTCAGGGAGGAAAAACAAAGTACGACTGGAGTGCCGGTGGCAATAAATAAGCTAAAACTAAAATTAAAATTATTTTTGGAAGCTAAAGTACTATGGAATTGAGTTCATGGCCGGAGTTTTGTCTCTTCGATTGCCACTCTAGACTTTTACTTCTTGCCTAAACCCCCCCCCCCCCCTCCCGTTTTCCAAATACACCAAATTTCAGAGAGTTTTGTTCCTTACTATTCAAACAAGACACGTTTTACGATTTTGGAGCTCCCAAGTATCTCATGTAAAAGAAGGGGTTGCTTACTGTCACTGGAGTTTCCTAATTTCCTTCGGAAACAGTTTTCGTTGGGTTCTTCAAAACATTCAAAAGAGAAAGTTCTACTTTGGAAAAATAAAAATAGGGGGGGAAAATAATTTCCCTTCGACATCTGGGAATCCCCAATTGGCTGTATGCAAATTTTAATCAGATTCTCCCCCGTAGCGGTTGAAGGAGAAAGGATGTCCGAATTTCAAATGGCCAATAATACAAATAATCAAATAGGTGGTAGGGCTCTTCGGGCGAGTAGCTGCGCTGCTAATCAACTTTCCGGTCCTGTGCGGGTGGATATTCCCCCGAGATTTACAGTTTTGAAGTTTAGACACCTAAGCGGCCCGCGGACCGGCCTGATCACGACACGGCCGACGCGAGGCGAGGCTCGGGCCCCATATAACTCGGCCGACGATCAAATTCGGGGTTGAGTGTGGGGCATGATTCCACTCGAGAGGACCGGGTCGGTTTCGGAAAAATTCATCCGTGCAGGCTTCTGATGGTGGAGAGGGTAAGAAAAGAGCGGGGAAAACGTACAGAAATAAGGAGAAAATCAAAAGCGAGTAGTACAGCGGAGGATTGCTGGCGCCTCACATCCCTGGGCAGGGGGGAAGCAAAAAGGGAAAAAAAGCCCTCGAGACTGCGAGAGGAGAGGGAGGAAATGATAGTGCGTTGTCTGCTACAATTTACTTATACCGGAACGAGGATAAAATCCCACCATTCAATAATCCATATTCCTAGATAGACGATTCAAGTACCATCTGAATCGTGGATCATTCTTCCACATGATGCGAGGAAGCTGCTTTGCGAATTATGCGAGGGAGGAGGCATGCAGGGGAAAACGTGACCGATTTCTGCAGGATTCTCCGACTTGACATCAGACAAATCACTTTAAATCAGAGAATTATGAATATACAGACATATAAATGGTCAGAGCCCTTCATGACGCCTCTAAATTTTCTGAAGTCATCTCTAAATTTTCTGTGCACAAAAATCGTAACATCTCCTGTCTTGTTCCCGTGTAATCTGTGTCCGAAGTTCGAAATAACGTAGTTTTCGAGAGGATTTTCAAATGGCACGCAAAAACTGTCTAAAATTTGAACGCCACTTTCCATGGAGATGCAATTGGGCACGATGCAAAATCGTACGTATGGATTTCTCGATGCAATGCTTACAACGGAATTGGAAGGGGCAAACGTGAGGCGCAATGAGACGAGATTTTCGAGAAATTCGTGTTAGCATCATCTAGAATTTTACATCAGTGTTTAGAATAGAGTCTAAGGAAGAGAATGAGATTAATTTCAAAGTTTTGCGTGGAACGATGCCGGAGATAAAAGCCTCTTAAGAGATCCATTGAAATCGTGACCTTTGACACTACTTCCTGTCCACACCGATGACCTTTGAGACTCAAAAAGTGGCTCTTGGGCCCGAAGAAACTACCAATATAGAGCGGAATTTTGATACAGGGGGGGGGGGACCAATTTTTATCTTTTTATATGAACCTTAATGCCATTTTCCCCCATGACAGTTTCTTGGATATACCATACCTTACATAAAGTTTTTATATAATATTCTTGTTCGATGTCGCTGCGCCGGATTAAAGAAGCCACCAGGAACACCGCGATCACAAGTAAGTGTTTTTCCAGCGAAGACACTGGAACAGTATCAAATGCATAAAGAGGAATTAAAATATTAAAGAAATCTTTTTCCCTATTTCAAGACGAGAACCGCGTTTTCGCAGGCTATTTGCAAGATTTAGTACGAATTTGAGCAGTTTCTGCAAACGGGGAGCGAGAATCCTGGAAACAGCGCATTCATTTTCATCAAAGGGTCGTTCGGGGTAAATGCGTCTGCGTTTCTGTTTTTCCGACTAATCACATTCCGCACAACCGCTAATTCAGGGTAATAAAGTCTTGCTTGCTGATAATACCTGCATATGCCATAAATTTGCAAGTATGCATAAATATAGCCACTTGGGACCTCGACTGCCAGGCCCAACCTCAACGTAATGAGATATGGCTACTTCGTGGATAACGACCCGAACCATCGCAAAAAAATGATTTGGCACCACAAAAAAATTGACAAAAACCTGGGTTGCTTGGTAATTGAACCGGCCGGTCAGACGTAGATGCAAATTCGCCGATTTGAAGGGAAGACAGTGCAACTGGACTCCCGTCAAAGAATGTTTGGCAACTTCAAACTTATCCTAATAAAGACGCGCATAATTCGTCTTCATCGGGATAAGACGCATTCAGAGTTTGGACCGTTAAGCAGCCCAAATTTTTATTCGATGCCAACATACAAAATGGCCCACTACATTTACTAGGTGTTGAAAACGAAAGTATCAAAGTGCGCATTTTTCAGTACAGTTGCACAAACATACAATATGAGTAATTTTATCATCACGCCTCGCATTTCTCAGAGGAACCAAGGGTGTTCGAACTGGCTTTCTTCATAATGCAGACAATTTTCGTATCTGAGAATTTACATGTTTTCACATGTAGTATGGCATTAAATTCTTGAACAATGCAAGTTTTCAAATCACCTGATCCAGATCGAATGACCAGGGAAATGCTCATCCAAACGGTTACGAACAGGAATGTAATTACATAATTACAGTAAAATAATTCGATATCGCCTCCAGTTGGTAACAGGATTACTTTTCAGTCTTCTAGTATCGTTTCAATAAAAATTCGTTGCTCTTAAATTCCTTAATGATATAATCATGTTATAATAAAACACATAATATAAATTATACATATAAAATATATGTACAGAGTAGCAGAAAAGTGTAGTGGTACTTATGAACCACTCCGTATAACTAGATTCTGCCTTGACAAATTCGCATTGCTTTCAGAATTATACTTTATTCCACAGAGTGCATGCATTGAGCAAACAAGAGATGGGATTGGCAGAAGGAAAGACGCGGAAAACCTGACAGACGAGAAAACAAAAAAGAAAACCAAGAAAGTAAACAAGAAAGAAAACTAGGAAGATAACCAGACAAGGCTGAAGGATGACTGAATGACTGCAAAAATGCAGGCAACCAAGATGGCAAGGAATACCATTGCCGCGTTCCCAAGTCGTCTTCTTTCTGAGAGCAAGAAATAAATAATATAAATTACATAATTTTGTTTATTTTTTATTTTTATTTTTTACATTATAAGTAAGCTATAAATCAAGGGGTCACTTCTGAAAGAAGGTTGCACTTTTCAGCAACTAATCACCGCCTCGATAAAACTCAAAACACGTTCAGTGATTTCCTCTCTCACATATTCTAGCAATATTTCCTATTATTGTAAGGTTACGTCATCGAAAATCATTGAACCATCTTAGGCGACAAAGTTCCCATTCGAAATTAATATAAAATTGAGCATGCAGACCCGAACAGGCGCGTGGGTGTGCTCACCAATTCTCTATGAGTTCGGCAGGGGGAGGAGCCTCACCTCCTTGGTCGGGGGCCTCACCGTGGTCAGCGACCTCACTGTTGCCAGGGGCCTCACCGTGGTCAGTGGCCTCACCTCCGTGGTCGGGGAGAGGCCGATCCGCCGACTCGGGTCGTCTGCCTTCGTCTGCTTCTTGCTCTGAGGCTTCTTCCGGTTCGGAGTCGCTCGGTACTTCTGGAGGCTGCAACCGAACGGACGCTTTTAGCAAAACACGCTCGGTGAAACCGGAAAGATGGCTCTCTAAAAAAAAAATTACGTAGGGAAAGTGATGAGATCTCATCAGAAAACGGGAAGGGGGGGGGGGGGGGGGGGGGGGAGAATAAGATAAAGAGGGAGAAGCAGCGCGAGAAAGCTTTTCCCGCTCGGCAACGAGGAGATTGGGGGGCTTGAACTAAGTTGAACTAAGTCTAACGGGGAAAACAAAATTATTGCCTTCCTATTGAAATTGGTAAACCAGAACAGGATAACTAAAAAAAAAAATAAAAAAACCGGTTCCAGGATATCCCCGCCCACGCACAAAAAAAATCAGGAATATGCAGACCACGTAATCCGGATCAACAACTTCATCTTCCTCGTCAGGTGTTTCCTCGTCGAGCGCTTCCTCATCCAATCTCTCTTCTTCGTCGAGCGCTTCCTCATCCAGCCTCTCTTCTTCGTCGAGCGCTTCCTCATCCAGCCTCTCCCCCTCCCTCCCGTCTTCCCTCGTCCGCTCCGCGTCGACCGGCCGATTCGGGGAGCCGCCATCGCCGTGGACGGGCACCAGCGGAATCTCCTCCTTCTCCCGTCCCTTCAGGCCGAGAAGGTACAGCGGGGCGAGGAAGATCTCCTGCAGCGCCTGCACCGGCCACGTCAGGCGCTTTGAGGTCGGCTGGAGAAAATTCATTGCGAATTAGATGCTTTATTAATGCAAAAGATGCGGATGAGAAAGGAGCGCAAGCATTTGCGTCACACCAGTCAATGATTAATAAGTGACGAGAATAATCAACATTCGCCTATTCGTCCTATATTTCACTCTCTGGAGAAGTTTCCTGCAGAGATGATTAGATGAATTCGAATTATTCTCGATTAGTCACACTCGGAATTTTGCAGAAACGCATTGTTCAAGTGCATTCAACTTGGTAACTTTTTCACGCTGCCCTGCAATGAAGCCCACAAACAAGGAATCTCTTGGAAAAAAAAAAAAAACTGTTCCATCACCACCATCGCCTTCAGTGGGCGAATCCATTCACTAACCCTTTTAATGCCAGGGGACGGTTTCGTCGTTTTTAACCTACGAATTGGCCGCGTGGCACTAAAAGGATAAACGTCCTTACCCCCTCATCCCAACTTCAAGTTGGTTGAAGAGCATCTTCCAGTACCTAGAGTAGCGATCCACGATCTCGTTTCCGGATCGCCCACCACTCCAGAGCCCATGATACTCAAACTTTTCCACTTGCTCCAGCTACTCCCCCCCCCCCCCCTTTCTTTCGAGGGGTGAGGCTAATCAGGTTGTGGCGTTACTTGGGTTCACGAATCTCTTTGACGCGCTAATGCTTCTAGGAATCTTGGATCGGCTCTCTGCTCTCCCAAAGAGCTCGGCTCTACATTTTTTTTCCCACCAAGCTCATGAAAAACCGAACACAACTCCACTATGTACGAAACAATCCCAGATTTTTTAAAGCAAATATTACAGGATCCCTATAGACTAGTCGAACGGGACGCTAAATAGGACCAAATTTGAAACCCGGACTGACCGATTCCTGGGCGTCCTCGAACTCCGCCCCGGGCCTGCCCATCCGCCGCATGGTTCTCACCTTCCGACGGGCCAGCCTCATCCATTTCGACTGCATCCGGGAGAAACGAGTTCATCTCGGGTCCAAGCATCTCAATGCGAGTGAAAGGGGGGAATACGTACGTAGTAGAGAAGAGCAGGTTGGGAGAGTTGGCTGAGGGCGGAGAGGAGAGTCGACCACGTCCCCGACGCTCCGTTCTCGTCTGAACGCAAGAGAATCAGAAAGGGACAATTTCAATGCGTGACCATTAGAATGGTAAGTTGGACTTTGCGTAATGACTGGCTGCATTTTCGCGATACGAGACCTCGCAAAGACTTGTCTACCGGTCGTTGATGTTCTGCATGTATAACCCGTTTCAACATCCCCTTATCGCTCAATACTTTATATATTGATAGAATTTCCTGAGAAAGGACGGCGGATTATTCCAGATTTACTGATTTCAAGTAAGCGACTTCAAGTAACACCAGGACACCCACCCAATTGCACAATTCTTACAGACTGACCCTTCGGCGGCGTCCACCCGGGCGTCCGTTCCGCGAGACGAGAACGGAGCGTCGGGGACGTGGTCGACTCTCCTCTCCGCCCTCAGCCAACTCTCCCAACCTGCTCTTCTCTACTACGTACGTATTCCCCCCTTTCACTCGCATTGAGATGCTTGGACCCGAAACGCCCGGGTGGACGCCGCCGAAGGGTCAGTCTGTAAGAATTGTGCAATTGGGTGGGTGTCCTGGTGTTACTTGAAGTCGCTTACTTGAAATCAGTAAATCTGGAATAATCCGCCGTCCTTTCTCAGCCTAGAAGAGTTAGACTTTCATAGTTAATTTTCCCAAAAATGACGAAATATCGCTAGTTTTCCTGTCTTCAAGGACACAATGTCCGGCCAAAAAAAAATAAATAAATGTTGGACTCCTCTGGGAACTTCGCAATTAAGGATAAATCGGAGACAAGTTGAGATTGAATGGCCGTATAGTCACTTACAATTATTTTTAAATGACTGACTCAACATCGTGGGTTATTTGTTTCCATTCAACAGGGGCAGTATTAAATTTTTTCGCCTCGTATCTCGGATTCCTATGCTTAAATTTCACTTTTCTTCTGCGGATGCGTCAATTTGCAGTATTTTGGAAAATAACTTTTCGAACCATTTTTGATTGTAGAAAGAGGCCACACTTGATCTTAAAATAAATTTCGCAATGCTGGGCTTGGCTCCTAGGCTAAGCCGATTCCCCAGTCAATTCCCAAGTGAGAGCCGCGGGATAGGCGGTACTCTCTGCAAATTAAACGGATTAATAGTGAATGAGCCAGACGACATCGATCGCATCACTGACGTCATCTGGCACGTGATCGGCCACCTCGTTGGCAATCAGATACAAGTAACAAGCCACCAATTTTTTTTCCCCAGGCATCAGCACTCGGTAGTTATAGAACTTGGAGTGGCATTCCATTAAACTCTTCCCGAATCTCAAAAGCAGCCAGCGAATTCACCGAGAGAGAGAGATGAGAGAATATGGTGCCACGCAGTATTTTGCTCCCATTTGGCAGTTAACCCTTTCAGTTCGGGCTTCGTCCGGTCCTTTCAGTCAGGGGTCCCACATTTTCTTCGAATATGTTGTAGGGCAGTGGTTCTCAAACTTTTTACTGTCACGACCCATCCTGTCCTCTTCCCATCTTTATATGACCCACAAATTTAGAAACGTCCAGAAATAATGCAGCCGTGTGACTCGAACAAAAAATTTGATTAAAGTTTTCAAATACGGAAATGACGCTCTCGGCACCGATGATTCCCTCATTATTCCTTTTCGTTTCCTCTTTGATCTTCCTCTCAAAGAACTCCAATGTTGGATGATTTCGATCTAAATGCTGCTTCGATTCTTAAGACTTCATGGACGCATTGGCCAGCAGTTCACCACGAACTTAGCAATCTGGTTTCATACTTCCTGACACAAACACCACACTGAAGCTATGAATCATATTTCCGGATTGATACCAGTTTCGACTTTTTCGTCGACTCCTGTCTCAGTCCCAGAGGTGCTACTATTATTATTACTATTAGCGCTTGCACTCGCTTATATCATATCATGAAAGAATCCGTTGCACACGAATGTTGAACCTAAATAAGTAACTATGTATTTCCTGTACAGGAAATTATGGATGAGATGAACTTCGTAAACCTCCCACTCCAAAAAAAGAGAAGGAATGTAGCATGTTCATGTAGCAGAAAAACGAAATCGATAAAATAAACACCAGCTTTTGCCTGCAAAAACAGCATCACACTTAAACCACGTTACCCAAGAAACAGAGGGAACGCCGACGAGGAGTTCATTGGGGATGAAGGCCATGAGCTAGAGTGATTAAAAAGTCATTTTAAAGCCGTTTGCCCTTTCTTGGAATTGTTTGCCAGCAAGCCTTCTCCCTGCGCTGCCTTCTTGCCTGGATTAATAGATTAGGTCGTTCCCGGAAAGCCAAGCTCTAGTAATACAGCCCTGCATTTCGGTTCAGTACTCATGACTGTCTTCTCAATACCTCTTTTAATTCATTTCATCCTCTCGCGACCCACCGGTCGAGAATCACTGTTATAGGGTTGCACAGGAGTGCACGACCTTGAGGCCATGGCAGGATTCTGAGTCCCAGTTTATGGTAGTTCACCTCATGTCAAGTTGACAGCAGTCAGCAGTAATATGAAACTGCTGTATTTCCTCTGGCACTTCAAAACGGTTCATCTTTTGCATTTATTCCAGCCAATCCATTTCTTTCCCAGCCTTTTTTTTTCTTGTTTTTGCTAGATAATGGAAAGTAGTACAGGAATGCTGGGAAACATATCACGTAAAATAGGGATACGAGTACTAGTCGAACTAATTAAATATTATTTAATTGATTAACATTTATTTTACTTAAGGAAACAATTTTAAAAGCACTTTTACTTGATACGAGCCCTGTTGAAGCCCAAGAGTATGTTACATATTTTTTCTATGTCTAGAACATAATTCAGGACTGAAAGGGTTAAAGCAAGTTTGCGCCATAAAATGCATCGCATAAGGGATGACTGCCAAACTTAGGCAGAAATATTTGACAGAGGCAGTCTGCAATGTGGAAAAATATAGCAGTCGCCCGAGCGACTCGCAGGCAGCCTGAAGCCGCTTCGGTGAATTTTCGCTGTTGCAGTCTCGGGGATAGATCGAGCCTCGATCGATTGACGGGAAAACAAACACGAAAGGTCAATCTAATAACAAACAGTCCTTGAAGATTGTCACATTCAGGTACACGTTGGAATCTTGCAGATACGCACGAGCTTGGCAGAAATGCGTGGTCCGTTGTGCATTGGGGGGCGGGGGATGAATGTCATGTCCGTAAATGCCCATTCGTGAGAACCATCTCAGCATGTTAGTGAAGCTTGCGAAATCCTCAATCAAACTAAAATAGAGAGCAGAAGGCGAGCTTAGCTGAGCAAGATGAAAGTCACTTTGGAAGTTCCTTGTAATGACTGCTATTTTTTGCTCGAATGTTGTTGGCTGTTGTCGTTTGACATTGCTATACGGTCAGATACATATCCCAATAAAATTTAATTTTCATCAAACAGTATCGAATCTTTTATTGTTTGCTCAAGGATGACCTTCTGCACCACCTTGTTTATGGGAACCGGCACGACTGGAGGGTACAGGGGGCGCTGCTGAAGGGGCACGACAAACTATCGCGGAGCCATAACTTGCCATTGAGAAGGCATAACCGATAGTCGAAGAAGATAGAGAAGCAGACAGACCGTATTCTCCGACTTTGGGGATGTGCATGAGGTTGGCAGAGACGGAGACGGCGGCGTCGTGCACGGGGCCCGAGACGATCCAGGCATAACCGGGGAGTCGCTCCTCCGCCTTCTTGTGGATCTCGCAGCCTTTCCCCCACAGCGTCTGCACCAGCGGGACGTCGCGGTAGAGGCGGTGGAAGAACGTCTCCTTCGCCGAGGGGGTCATCGACACTCCGTTCGATGCGGGACCTTTCTCCTCCGATTCCATTTTTCGAAGCCTCGAATCGCGGAAAAATTCCAGTCAGTGGAAAAAAAGAGACGAAGCAGCGGTTCTAAACGACGTAAGCGGCACAAGCGGTCGCAAAGCCGCTACCCGAGGCGACAGCATGCGGCTTGCAACGAGAGTAAACGTTAAACCCTTATAAGCCGCTTAGAGCCGCACTGGCGCCTGTAAGCAACTTCTAATACCACGAATGAGGATCATCTCAGATCCATCATGAACTTTATAAGTGAATGAGGTGATCTTCCAATGGAGGATTACTGCGAACAATGAGTATTAGAACACGAGCACGTGGATATAAAGCAGGGATCGGGAACCTTTTTTGGCCATGTGAGTCACATTTAGATTGAGGTAAGTGCTTGTGAGCGAAAGATTTTCAGAACAACCCAATTTTTCTTGAAGTTACCAACAGAAATGTGCATCCTTTGATATATTAGAAAAATGAGAAACCACATGATTTTTAGCCATGGCTCAATGAACCAAACTTTTCGGCTCGTGAGCCATAGGTTCCCGACCCTGGCAAATAGCAGGCTAGACCAGGAGACATTCAAATACAACTTTTGATTTACATCGAAATAAAGGCGCCGAAAGTGCCGATCTCTCTGCCTCATTTCAATATTAAACTTCCAGGTTCACCTACTGAGCTATGAAGAACTGGAGGCGGCGCACATAGAAAGGATTTGCAACAATTCTAGTTTGGTATCTCTTCCATTGGGGAGGATTACATTCGTTAATTTCGTCTTTGTGGCGAGATTTTTTTCATCCTTGCGGTGAGAAAAAGGATTCTAGAAGTTTCTTTTCCTCGACGTGGAAGGCAGCAGCAATTCAGCTTAAAAGACGCGAAACGCGGCGAAACCTGACCAACACTGCACAGACACCAGGTGTCACTGTCGTCGTCTTTCCCCCTCTGATGCTCATGAGAGCATGATGGGAGGCAGCCATAGTACGGGAAATTATTTCTGGAGAATTTCATAGGCCTGATGACGTCTCGTCAGAACTGTTTTCTTACATGGGTTCCCAGGCCTGCGAAGGGCTTAATGTAATGCCATCCTTGATTGATCAGTCGGCCTATTTTACAGCAGGCCTAAAGCATAAAGTCAGTCGCAGCGAACGTGCAAATGCAAGCATAGGCTAAGGAGGACGAAAGGCGACCGCGAGGTTCGTGGTAGAGGTGACGGCGGGTCACGGAAGGGCATGCCGCCGTGTTCCGAATGATCCCGCAGTCTTCCGATGCTCCGCCTATGCACTCAACAGGGCCCGCTTAAGACTCTATGGATCGCACTCCGGCATTCTGCCACGACCAATTCCCAATCGCCCTTTACTGCCGTTAGCCTAAACTTCATTTGGGATCCATTTGCTTGATAGAATAACTCAATGGGGTTCACTGGCTCTGCTGGGGACCGATTACGCTCGCTGTGCCGGGGCTGCTAACCGTCGCGTAAGCATTTAGGAGAAATCCGAGAAGAAAAATCGGGGAAATCCCGTAGGACGGAATGAAGAACGGCCGCGATACCAACCAGAATGGTTTCAAATTGCAAGTACGCATGCCTACAATGTTTCCAGGCGGAAAAAAAGAATCGTTCCAATGGGCGTGCCATCTCCCGTTCCTTTTCTCGGCTCAAAATGTAATTCGAAGAAGGTCGTCCTTTCGGGACTCACCTTGGAAATATGCCTGTTGGATGAGACGCAGTTCACGTTGAATGTTCACGGCTCGACGGCTGGGCTCCGACTGACTGGCTTCCTTTCCTCAGCGCGCTTAAACGCCCGGACCGGCATTCTTTCTCGCTGCGTCACGAGGAGGCTGACCTTGACTTCCACGCCGTGCTTCATGTCATTCGATTGCTCTATGTCTGGTGCGTTTGTTAGTGCTGGGGGTGAGGGGGGGGGGAGTAGGGGGGGGGGGGGCACTTTGAATGCCTTTAGGGGCTGTGTGCTTGTTGGGACGATCTCGGTGGAAGTGTGCCACTTGAGGTGTAAATCGCATCGTGGATCATTGGGGGTTTGGAGAAGGCGCGAGTCGAGGTTGACGAGAAAGAAAACCACATACTCGGGATCGAGAGCTATCGCGACATTTTTCCAGCGCGAGAATCAAGTATCGAGAGAAGCAAAATGTTCGACGATTTCACTTTCACCTGAGCCGCATTCGCAGTCAGAACGACTGTGCAAACCAGTTTAGTAATAAAAATTGCCATTCAGGTTATGCGAATTCCCGCTCCTCAGGAGACCGCATAGCAACATCTCCGTTATTCTCAGGGAAAAAACACGTTTCGTTTCTGGGTCTGAAGTGCAGATTGGCGATAAAGCGAGCGGGGCAAAGTCCACGGAGTCCACGAGCCCCGTTCCGTTATCTGTCACCGACTCCAACGTTGTTTATCTCCGTGACAAGCCAGGAAATGACGAGCCATCCGGGATGAATCACATCGACTTCCCGCGTTCCTTCTCGTCTTTTCCCTTTTTTTTTCTCTCCTACGTTGGATTACCTTGAGATTCCTTCGACAAGGTCTCTGAATTCGCCTTCAGTGCCGTTGGAGTACTTCTCGGTACTTCGAGGAACCACGGCTGATCATTTACAACTCCGGATCGACTCAGTACCGGAAGTACTGAAAAGTACTTTCAATGAAGCACCCACCTTGAAAAAAAAAGGAATATAATAGGTGAAACGTTTTGCCTTTTAGGCGTGCCTACCCCTCAGCAAGTACTAAAAGTACTGCCGGGTACTCGCAAGCGGAAATTCAATTTATTTCCTGGAAGCTCAGATTTGCCAAAATAAAAAAAAAACGCAGAAATGCCCTCAGAACCGAGCATTTTGCAAGGAAATCAAGGGCTTGTGGCACCTCCGGATACGATTGACCATTCGAGGACTTTTTTCCTCATAGAAAAAGATTTGGACGGCGAAAACTCACAGATCATCGGGGAAGTCCCCGTTTCGAAAGCCGACGGCTTTCATCCAGGTACATCCCGATGGTCTTCGAGTATCGAAGAGGCTGATGCGCGCGCGTCTGCGATCTGGAGGCGACTGGGACGGAGGCACGTCGTGTCCTCGCCGTGGGGGGGGGGGGGGGGGGTGACGGGGGCATCTGGGGAGGGGGGGGGGGGGGGGGGGGGGGGGGGGCGATGACAGGGACATCTGGTGTCACTTTTGTGCGGCGTCGGGCTCCACTGCGTCTCGCGAGGCTTTTAAGCCGAATCAGCTGCGTCCTTCTCTCCGTCGAGGAAAAGAAGCGTCTAGAATCCTCTTTCTCACCGCAAGGATGAAAAGCCTCGCGCGACAAAGACGAAATGGAATCCTCGTAAATGGGATGCGCTCTAAAGCGGAACGAAAGAGCCTCGACGAGTAAAAATGCCGATTCACGCACAAGTAGCGTCTCTGGCGTGCGATTCGGTGATGCAAGTGAGACGTATGTGCGTGCATGCCCACATACATTCGCAGGTTAAAAAAAAAAAAAAGGGAAACGCAGCTCGTATAGTTCGAATTTGGTCGTCCGATTCCGAACGAAAACACGGCCAAGGCGTTCCCGCTTCTTCGCGCTCACGGTTCGAGATTTGGGCCGGGACGCGAATTCGCATTGCACGCCCATCTTCGCTTGTCGAGTGCTATGTAACATGAGCCGATCGCTCTGAATTTTTTTTTGTGTGAGAGCAAGTCGTTACTTATTCCTCACTTATTTTTTCAATTCAACGCCTTGAAGTTAGCGATGAAAGGGGCAAGGGCAGCCTTCGAAGTAAAGGTCATTCAAGGTCATTCTGCAATCAGTTGCCGAAGCCTCACTCGAAGTCTTGGCAACTCGAACTGGTCTCTCATCGATTCTCTCGAATGCCTCGAGGTCTCCTCCCCGTCAATCTTCCGTGCAAGTACTGCGGAAGTACTGCGGAAGTACTCGTACTTCTTTCGTCGTCTCAGCTGTCCGCCTCTGAACTCGTTCCATCGTCGTTGCGTCCTTTTCGCTCGCAGGCCTCCAAAATTGAAGGCGATACTCGGAACGCGGCCTTGTCAACCGAAGAAAGAAGCGCGGCAACGGAATGCCGAATCGAAAAAAAAAAAATTTTTCAACACGGCAGTTCGGTCGCCGTTCGATTCCAGTTTCAGTTCGAGCTTCGAGTTCCTCTCGATCTTCTCGATCAGGGGGAGGGGGGGAGGGGGGGGGGGGGGGGGGAGGGAACCTTTGGCTCACGAGCCGGAAAGTTGGGCTCATCGAGTCATTGGCTGAAAATCCTGGTTGTGCCTCGTTTTTCTCATGTATCAAAACAGGCATGTATCTATTGCCGGCTTCAGGAAAAATTTTGTCGTTCTGGAAATCTTTCGCTCGCAAGCACTTAGCTCAATCTTAACATGGCTCACGTGGCCAGAAAGGTTCCCGATCCCTAGATCCTCTCGATTCCATCTTCATCTGGACGCAATTTTTTTTTTTTAGTCGGACGTGAGGACGTGACGTCGACGAGGAAGGGATGAGCGCTTTTCAGCGTCTTCGCTGACCTGGTCCCTCGATCGAGCCTCGATCGTCCCGTCGAGATGAATTCGGCGGCCGAAGGTGCGAACAAACGACGGAAAATCCAGGCTCAATGGGATCCAGGCTCATAGCCCCGAAATCCGCCGTATCGTCCAAATCCCCGAAACTCAGAAATGTCCCCTGAGAACCTCCCAAACGCTCGCGGCGACCAATCGCCGCCGCCGCCACTCGCACCCCCGACCTCCCCCCCCGACCCTCGACCTCGCTCGACCTCGACCCCGTCCCCCCGCCGCGCCAGACGCATCAGCGTGGCCGTGAACGGGGACCCGCATTTCCTTCCTTTCGTCTACGCCTTCAGCTCCGATCGCATCCGCACATTTCAAAGGTGGAAACCCCGCCTTCTCTATCTCATTTTCATTTTAATTAAGCAGTTCATTAGTTATATTCATGAATATCATTATTTTTTTATTTATCATTTTATTTCATTTATTTATTATTTTAATTATTTTACTTATTTCTCATTTATTTTATTTATTTATTATTTTACTGATTTTAGACCTTACAGTCTACAATTATCAGAGTGCTGGTTTTTGATCCGCAGTTTGCTGGCCGACCTAACCAGGATGTTGGGGTCGAAGGCAGTGTTGCCTCTGGGCGTCCGGGTCCTTTTCTCCCGCCACGGCCGGCGGGTCACGTCCCTGGACGAGATCCAGGACGGCCACGCCTACTTCGCCTCGTCCGTGAATCGCTTCAGGGGAGATGGGAAGGCGAAAGCCGGTCGGGGGAAAGGTAACCGGAGACGCAAAAAATAATAATAATAATATAAATAATCAATATATAATTATAAGAAATAAAATATTAAATGAAAATAATGATAACAAAGAAAGTAAAGATAGAAATTGAAAAGAAAAAAAGTTGGAACAGAATTGGGATAGAAAAAAATCGGTTTTCAGTTGTGTCGGAACGAGGAAGTCCCCTGCACGGCAGTTGCGTCCGGATCGGGGGGAGGGGGGAAGCGATCCGGAGTTCCGGATCGGGGATGGGGGGGTCGAGCCGGTCCCGGTTCGTCCTGATCATCCGGAACGGGGTCGGGCGTCCGAGGCGGGTCATCCGGTGCCTGCTCAACGGATCGGCGGCGTCACTTCATCAGGTCTGTTTTTGCTCCTCGTTCGTCTTCGGCGTTCGAGTCCGTTTTTCACGGATGATGGATCGAAGGTCCTGTGCGAGCTGACCGGCGTGGTGAAGCTGGACACGGGAGCGGTGAGGAGCCTCTACAGACTGGATGGGGAAAAGGTGGGTCAAAAACGCCCTTAGAGACTTCGACGACAGACGCGAAAAAGGGTGGCAGTCAGGGTGGCAGTCAGGGTGGCAGTCAGGGTGGCAGTCAGGGTGGCAGTCATTACGGGTCCCGGGCCAGGTCACGCGCTTGGAGGAGCTGCTCGCGAGGGGACGGGACGTGTTCTTCGCGGTGGGGCACGAGGGACGCACGGCGCTGGACGTCCGGCTCTCGCGGGTGGAGGAGGGCATCCTCGCCGCCCAGGAGGCAAGCATCCCCGCTCGGCGCAGACTCCGATCGTGAGTCCACTTTTCTCACCGTTTTGGCGTCCGGTTTCGTCGGTCGGGGAGAACTTTACGATCTGCAATTCCTTGCTTTCTCCCTTCGTTGAATCATTTACGTTTTCCAAATTTGTTCCGCTTTCTTCCGTTCCTTCAAACTCAAAAACGCATTTTTCCCTTTTCTTATCATCTTTTTATTTTTCCTTTTATTATTTTTCCTTTTATTATTTTCCATTTTATTATTTATCCTTTTATTATTTTTCCTTTCGCAGTAAATCAAGGGCGTCTCAGCCGTCAGGGATGCCGATAGGAGACGGCAGGGTTGTCAGAACCATCTCTCACACTCTCACGAACCCATCCCAGACGATCCTCGACCGGACCACCTCCGACCGGCCCACCTCCGACCGGCCCACCTCCAACCGGCCCACCTCCGACTGGACCACCTCCGACTGGGGCACCTCCGACCGGGGCACCTCCGATACCGCCTAAAGGTTTCTTTCAATTTCCCGTGATCCATTTCACCTCCCCATCCCTTTCCAATAAAACTTATGAAAATTCAATTAATTTGTAATTTTATTGACATGGATGATCATGGACGATATCACAAAAGGGAGTCTTCAGACGATCGTCTCCAACGACGAGA